AAGCACCTGTGAATTAGTGCCTCTTCCTAATTTTCATCTCAGGCATCAGTTATAAACAGTATCCTCCTCTTTCTGCAGAACTAACTTTGGTTGGACTACATTGATCTTAACCTCAACTAAAATAATGTTACTACTAGCCATCAATTATAAGCCACATTTTCGTGATATGTGTTTATTCTAACCATCAGCGAAAATAATAATAATAACGTAAAAAAATAGGATTGATTACCCTTTATAAATAGATAAGAGTACTACTTCTTGAGTAAGAAAAAATAAGTGTAAAAAATATATATTTAGATATAGCTAGACTGGTGATGAATAGGGTGGAAATCAACTTAGAATTAACATAGAAGTGTATTCCAAAATCATTTAAATGAACGTTCAAAATTCGCGTTATTTCATACGTAGGCTGTTCAATAAGTAATAAGGTTAATTTTACTGCCACAAAACCACTCATCGGAATGTTAATTTCTGTGGCATAAGAAAAGTTTGTTGTCTGTATTAACAAAAGCTACCGATAGATGGCGTGTACAGACTCATGTTCTTGAGTATCACGTGCTCGAACTGAAGCGTGTTTGCGGGCGCCTACGAGAAGCGGCCAGTTGTCGAAATTGAAGCAAAAATCTTCAAAATTCAGCATCGAAGACCTTTGATACGATACGATATGATTAAAGACTGAAACAAGAAGGCGACAATATCTTAAAATGCTTCATCATAGCAGACGAAGCTTAGTTGTATCACTGATCCAACCATAAAACAACAAAGTAGTGAATGGAAACATCCCTCTTCACCTACTCCCAAGAAATCAAAAATTGTGAAATCAGCTGGTAAAGTTATAACCATTATTTTTTTTTTTTTTTGATTTTGAAGGAATTGTGTATCAACACGCTGTCGAACCCAGTATTACCGTAAACGGCTCGTACAACGCTAATGTCATGCGGACAATGGTACAGCACGTTAAAAGGAAACGTCAATTGCTCCGAAATGGCTTCCTATTGCACCATGACAATGCCTGACTACATATTGCTCATTGCGTACTGGATGTTTTGCAACAGAACAATGTAGAGATTTTACCACACCCTCCATACAGTCCTGATGAAACTCCATGCGATTTCTGGCTGTTTCCTCAACTTAAGAAAGCATTACGAGGCAAACGTTTTGCAAGCAACAAAGCATGTGTATAGGCTGCGGAGGCAGTTTTGAAAAAGTTCTCACAAAACGGACTTTTACATGTTTTAAAAAGGGGACAGAACGTTGTAATAAATGCATTACGTGCCGCAGAAGTTATTTTGAAAAAGACCATGTAAATGGTGATGATTAAAGTTACTCTGTTTTTTTTTTTTTATATATAATTTTAGTCTTATTACTTATTGAACAGCCCTCGTATAGTAATTACAATTACGAGCAATTTAAATAAATACATTGAGTTATTCCTCAGCTAAAGCAACTTCACTTTCTTATATATTAATGCATCTTACACTGACATGCATGAATATAAGAAACGAACGAGGGTTCTTCATATATATTATTTTGGAAGGCCGAAAAAAAGAACATTTATTTATTGAAGAGAGCACACATAGCACAAGAAAAAGTTACAAAGGTAGCTGAGGTACCCTTGAGCGAAGCTCATGACAGGCACTATCATCTCAATCCCAAAGCCTTCATTTAATTGGAGCAAAAGAAACATGTAGAATTTTTTAAAATCTTGTGATTTTACTTTTTGCAAGTCCATTGGTCTCATCCGGAGGTCAATGCAATAATCGGTTGGCCACAACAATTTGACACTTTTAGAAAATTAAGATCACGGGGTTAAGTGTTTAAAAAGAATTAATTATCGTGCATTGTACTAAAATGGATTTTTTTAAAAAAGCCCTCTAATAAGAGTTGAAACATAAAATCACTCTCAAAGTGACAAAAATTTCTATGATAAATATTCAAACTGTTCCAGGAAATTCATGTAACACACAAATAAGTGTTTGAAGGATTTTTAAAAATTAGATTCGTTAAGTCTGAACAGTAGCGCACACAGGAATTTTTCAAGGGGGGTGGGGGGTCCACCATTCTTGTATCCTGCTCCTTTTGATTTTGTCGATTATCGGTAATAAAAAACAGTAAAAAACTAATTACTGAATAAATAATTAGCATTAATTAATAAAATTAATCATTAATAAAAATTACTTAATTAAATTTTACGTACTATATACTTAGAATTATAATCAATCGGGAAAAAAATCAAGAGCTTTGGGAGGTGAGGACCCCTAGGATCCCCCCCCTTGTGTGCGTCACTGAGTCTAAATAATTGTAATAATTTAAAGGGAATTCAATTTTAGAATAATTTCCGACTCATTGCTATGAAAAGATTTTAAATAAATTAAAAGTAAAAAAACTTTTTTAAAAACAAGCTTTCATTTAAATGCTCTAAAAAGAATAAAATAAACTTTTCTATTAAAACTTTTTTTGCTATCATCTTATAAAGTCGTTACACAATTTATGATATAAAAGCTTGTCGCGAGATTTAAGTACTCGTATTTACTTAGTTTGAAAATTTTAAAAATTAAAATCAATCAGATCAAGTTATTTAATTTGCTTGTTTATCTACACAGATAAATCTCTCGACAAGCTTTTATATCATAAATTGTGTAAAGACTTTATAAGTTGATAGCAAAAAAAGTTTTAAAAGAAAAGTACATTTTATTCTTTTTAGAGCATTTAAATAAAAGCTTGTTTTTAAAAAAGTTTTTTTACTTTTAATTTATTTTTTAGTTATCGCTGGACAGAAGTTTCTCAGTCTGTTAATCTCATCAACGCATCATTGTTGCAAGTTCGTTTACTGGTTAATTTTGAACAGTCCAGCTGAGGGGTAATCAAACTTTTTTCCCGCCAAGCCACATAAATATGATAGATATTTCTCTCGAGCCGCAACAAGAGGATAATGGGTAGGGGGGATAAACACTGTTAGACCAAAACAACACTGGACAATGCAAAATTAATTAAAATATTAAAACGGATTTTTTTTTTTTTTTTTTTTGATTTTACTATAATAGTTTATTAAAAACAAAAAACACAATCTTTTTTTTTTTAATCCGTAATTTTAAACCAATTTTTTCAATTCTTGTGCAGAAATTGGAAAATAATATTCTACAAACGAAAAAATATTTTCGTGCGATTATACAATCATGGACAAACGAAGTAAAACGAAGTACGAGTAGTAAAACGAAACGAAATTTTACATACGTAATGACAACTTTGATATAAGTAAAAGATTCGAAAATCACAAAGAAAAAGGATCAATTATATCAGAGAAAAAGATAAAAGGACGGAGGATTTAATACCCTGTTGAACGCCCTCTAGCGCGAATGCACGATGCGATACGATCAAGCATTGAGGCATACAAGCTCTGTATGATGTCTTGTGACATTTCATTCCATATTTGATATATCCTTGCCTCTAGTTCGTTCAAAATCGTGGGATGCCCAACTCGCCGCCCCAAATTATCCCAAATATGCTTGATTGGAGACAAATCTAGGGATACGGCAGGCCAAGGAAGGGTAGTAGCAGTGCGGAGACAGTCTTGTGACATCCTTGCCATGTAAGGCCAAGTATTGTCTTGTTGAAAAATGGCTCCTGGAAGCCGTTGCAGGATGTCATGGACATACCGCTGGGCTGTTATGGTGCCATGGATCAATGGTAGGGGTGACCGTGTATTGTAGGAAATGGCACCCCAGACCATTACAACAGCTGTGGGAGCGATGTGTCGCTGTAAAGGAAAGGCAGGATTGAGGCGTTCTCCACGGGGTCTCCACACACGAACACAATTGTCATCACTGCTGAGATTGAATCTGGATTTGTCGCTAAAGCAGACCTAGTTCTATTCCGCTGCAGTACAGTTTCCTCGTTTCCGGCTCCAGTCCAAACGGAGGCTTTGATGGTTGGGTGTCAAGAGCAGCCCACGTAATGGACGCAGCAATCCCAAATGTCCTTCATCCAGGCGCCTTCGTATGGTTCGAGAAGATACGTGGCCCCCTAGTGAAGGTGCTACTTGTGCCTGGATGTCGGTCGATGAAGCAGTTGGCTGTACGCGTACCTTTCTAACGATGTGGTAATCTTCTCAACGACTGGCCTGTCGAAAGCGTCCTGAGCCTGGTCTTCGTGTAAATGATATCTCTCGGATCTACTAGTCCCAACACCTCCTCACAACGCAGAGTGAACTAATTGACGAGCTATTCGCCTAGTTGACCACCCAGCTTTCAACATGCCGATGATTCTCCCCCTTTCAAACTGCAGCAGCTGCTCATATTGTCCTCGGAAACGGCGTAATGACATGTTTACCTTTTCTACTTTGTAAATTATTCAGCACACTCAAACAAGCTTTGGTTACCTGTTTTACACTCCACCTATTAAGCTGTTTAAGAATCGGTGAATGTTCACTTACTCGAGAACTCTGATAGCGAGAGGGGAAGGGGAATTTCCATGACAATATGTTATGCATTTAAAAATGTTCGTGCAACGCCGGGGGGAATAAGCCTGTCTGACAAAGAAAAGAAGCGAAAAAATTTCGAAACAGGGAATTTTAAGTTATACACTCGGTAAAAGCCCGAGAAACGTCGGGCTAAGCGGAGGAGGGGGGGGGGGGTGAAAGTCGTTTTGAAAAAGAGTATTAGAAGTGCTAATTTTGTGAAGGAAAGGGAAAATTTATAAAAGTAGAAAATGCCTGTGCAACTAGTCCTCTTAACAAATTGCGATATCGGAATATAAATGGTCAAAACATGCATATTCATCCAAATTAAGCATGTATACCAAATTTCAGCTCAATCAGTTAAAGACATCAGCTTCAAAATTGAGTTGCAAAATTCCACCCGAACAATTTACATTGCAAGTTTAAAAAAAACTTGTAAAATATAACATACTTTGTATTTATACAGAGTGGAAGCATTATAAAATATCTCGTTGAACACAAATAAAACGAATTTCAAAAAAATTCTACTCGAAAAAATAGTAATTAGAGGCGCGAAGTATCAATCCCCGTACCTCTCGCACACTACGGGAGCGCTCTACCATCTGAGCTACGCCTCCGGTCCACACCTTTGTTATTGTAAGCATACTCGCCTTAACACCTGACAAGATCGTTACAGTAACTAGGTCAATTAAAAGTTTTACGGGAGAAACTAGAATCGAGTAAAAAAATAGATATCACACATAGAATGTTTCAAAGTAAATAGAAATAGTTTGACAGATTTGCCTTTCTTAGTGTTCCCTCTAGAACAGTAAAAATATTACATACTTTGTATACGTATGCAGAGTGAAAGCATTGTAAATTATCTCGTTGTACAAATCAAATGAATTTCAAAAATATTTCACACAAAAAAATTATAATTGAAGGCGCGTGTATCGATCCCCGTACCTCTAGCATGCTAAGTGAGCGCTCTACCATCTGAGCTACGCCCCCGGTCCATTCTTTTATTATTGTAAACATGCTCACCTTAACACGTGAACAAGATCGTTACAGTAACTAGGTCGATACTGGAATATAAATCGTCAAAACATGCATTGTCATCCAAACTAAACCCGTATACAAAATTTCAGCTCAATCGGTTGAAGACATCAGTTTCAAAATTGAGTTGCAAGATTCCATCCGAACAAATTACTGTAATTAATATCTTTTTAACTAATTGAGATATCGGAATATAAATGGTCAAAACATGCATTGTCATCGAAACTAAACGTGTAGACAAAATTTCAGCTCAATCGGTTGAAGACATCAGCTTCAAAATTGAGTTTCAAGATTCGACTCGAACATTTTACACTGCAAGTTAAATAAAAGCTTGTAAAAATGGCACTGTATTGTAGGATGAAAATTTTCAAGACTTCAAGTACTTGTTTCTTCTTTAAATATATATATATATATATATATATATATATATAAATGAAGAGAGGTGAAAAAATGGGGTTGTTCAGAACTTTTGCAATCTTCCTTACAAAACATTTGGACAGATTACACGGACCAGGAACTGTGAGTCTCAATTTAATGTTGTGATAAAAATTTATATAAGATTGTTTCTCGTTTCTTAAGGTATCCAACTACGTTCGGAACCGTGATTTTGCAAAAGCGTATAAATGGATAATATTTATGATATTGAGTGTCACTTAGATTAGAAAACGTATATAAAATTGTTTTAAGAATATTATTACAGTAAAAAATTATTTAAGTACAATATTTTGAAAATAATGTTAATTTTTCAAAAATCATAGTTGAGCCTCTGTACAGAGATCTGAGCTCTATACAGGCAAAATATTATTATAATAGGAGCATTTTTCTCAAAAGGAGAACATTTTGAAAAAAGGTTATTCTAAGTTAATTTTGTGCTAAAATATTGTATTTTTTTTTTTTAAATAATTTTTTTTTTTGTCAAAATGTCCTTAAAACAATTTCATACATGTATTCTAATCTAAGTGACACTAAATATCAGGAAAATTATCCATTTATGTGCTTTTTTAAAATCACCGTTCCCCGAATGTAATCGCGCGGATACCTTAAAAACAAATTCTCTAAGTAAATTTCCATTTAAATGGTACTCAGTTCCAGATAAAATTATTTCGAATATTTTAGCTGTAAAGTCAGTGACCACAGGATTCTTGTTCCCTAGATTCTTTTTCTGGTTCATACAAAAGTATTACGTACACTCGATTATCACAGTACAAAGAGTAAAATAAAATAAGAACAAGCAGTGGCATAGCAATGAAAAAATGATCTATCTTATGATTGGATCATAATTTTCCAACCGATATTTTTCTCATGTATATACGAGGCTGAGTCAGAAATTAAATTTCCCCCTCTCGACTGTGGTCAGAGTTGTGTATGAAAATCCAAACATAGAATGAGACATTAAAGATAAGACATAACTTCCCCCCCCCTTAAGTACCAAGTACATTGAGACATTTGTCATACCTCTTGATAAGCTTCAAAGAACCCTCCAGGAAAAACTCAGGGCTTCGCACATACGAAAGAAGCATTTACTTTAGAGTGGACTTTTTGGAGGTTGAAACCAGAGTGTCACAGTGCCTACGTGGTATTGTGAAACCCTGTTTGAAATTGAAAGAGGTGATTCGGAAAAAGCGGCCTTTGCTTCTCAGATCTGGCGTTTTGTTGTTGGATGACAATGCGAGACCACACTCGGCAACGTCAACGCTAAACCATATTGCAACTCTTGGTTGGGAGCGCCTGCACCATCCATCAGTTCTGATTTCGCACCAAATGACTTTCATCTGTTTCTGGCTTTGAAGAAGAATCTCGCCTGAAGGCGCTTTGAAAGCAATGCTAAAATCAAACAAGCCGTTAAACGCTTCTTTCATATGCAAAAAGCCCTGAGTTTTTCTTGGAGGTTTTTTAGAAACTATCTCAAGCGGTATGACAAATGTCTCAATGTATATGGTTCTTATGTGGAAAAATAAAGTTATGTCTCATTCTATATTTTGACGTTCCTACACAACTCTGACCACAGTCGACAGTGGAAACTTATTTTCCAACTCACCTTCGTATATATAGTATCCGAATCCACCACGTAACAGCGGGCTTGCCATTTGGAGAGCCGAGGGATATTCGGACTTGGGCGTAGACGTCGTGTGTAGAGGCACTTCATTCCTACTTTGTAAATTTTTACCCAACTCAAATATTCATAAAAAATCTATATATGTCAAATACAACACTTAACATTAGAATAATATCAAAATACAAAATTTCCTCCTCTTTGTTGTCAGTATTCATGTTTACATTCTATAAATATGATGATTTATTGTAAATGACAAAGAAATAAAGATAATAAGTTTTCTTTTAAATATATAAAAGGGGAAATGAATTATTCTCCAAAAAAAAAAACGTTCATTTAATAAGATGGCAGTGACTGAATAAGCTGGGAGAAAAAAATTGAACTCTATTAAATTAATTTCGCACTTGTTTTTTGCCCTCTTGAGAGCAAATAAAAATTTGAAAAAAAAATTGATGAAAATATTTTGTTTATTTATATTTATTTCCAGAGAACTTCTTAAAGAAAGATTAATAAGTTCATATAAATGCAAACAAATAAGGAACTATAATACTCATTCGTAGCTTTACGAAGTACTTAGCCCTGTAGGGTTATAACCTCCAGTATGGACTTTTCGAATGGCTGTGATAGTTCTATAAAATTGCCCAGTAGTAATGAATATACTTAAAAATGAAAATTTAATGCCTAAATATATGGGATTAGTGGAATTTTGAAAATAAATTAACTTTAAAGTATTTAAAAACTCAGTTAAAAAGCAGAAAAAAACTCCCAAAACAGTTAGCTTAAGTTGGATTGGGAGTGTGGGCGGGTTGTGACGGCTCACGCGCGTCCTTTCTCTAACATAACCTCTGGATTCTTTGACGGCCAAGATTAATGGCAAATCTTTTCCAACCCAAATCCAAGAAGTGAAACGAAAGTATAGATGCAAATAAGATAGCCTTTAAAAGGACAGAAGTTTTAGAAAGCAGGATGGCAATTTAGAGATAGTTTAGTTTGGAAAACGTAGAAGTGTAATTTGGCGGCCTACCCAAAAATTACGGATATCTAGCCTTACTACAAGGAGCATACTATTGCACACGAGCCCAACAGCCTTTCTGAAGGTATTTGAACCGTTGCTTGGAATTCAAGGTAGGAAGATTATTTTCCGAATTCGAAATATTATTAGGATTGAGAGTAGGCGGATAATATAATTATTTAGATAAGTGATCCAATTGCGCGATCTGTGTTAACTACGGCTACGTGTTTTGGTTTATTCTCACTTAATATAGGTTTGTTCAATATATAAGTAATTTAAGTTAAACACTTAATAAAAGTCATATTAAGAATTCTAAAATGTCTCTTCATTTCGAGAATCCCACACCTCTAACTTACGCTGAAACCCCACGATATGGTCGACAAAGATCGACCATATCACAAAGGCGCCCGAACCGTTTTAATTTATATGACTCTGGGTTAGGAAATTCAAGTGGGTTTGGTATTTTACCAGAAATGTGCTTTTCCGGGTCCGAGAACGTGACTGAATTTCTCGAGGCCATAGACAATCAAATAAAATTACTAGAAATACCTAGTGATTTAGCATGTGCTTATTTGAAAGGTCATCTCCGGGGAAGGGCCCAAGATTGGTATCAGATATTCGGATCAGTGTTAGTGCAGGATACCGCCACGGATTTCGCGCAGCTAAAAGCAGAATTGGCAAAAGCATTCCCCGCTGTAAAGAATAAAAAAGAGTTAGAAGCCAAATTTTTTGCATCTCAGCAGGGAAGGAATCAGGAACCAACGGATTTTGTTTACGATTTGTTAAAAATACACAAGCGTTTAGAACTAAGGATGTCGCAGGCGGATTTGGTTGATCACATTTTTGTTAGACTCGAACCACAACTCCAGGACTATGTGAAGGTCCGAAATCCACAGGACACGGTACAACTTTTAGAAATCTTAGCTAAATTTGAAGAGAGGTATTCTTACAAATTAAAACGGGGTTCGCAGAATAGTGATAATGTGGAAAGACGGAGTCAAAACGCGCATAGGATGTCTAATTTTGATGATAATCGCAGAAACTGGAGAAATTCTGAAGTTGGGCGTAGACCAAATAATGGCACAAATGATTCTAGAGGTACTTATGAGAATGGCCGTCAAAGTAATAAGTGGTTCGAGAGTAGGAATAGATTTCAGAATGATGATCGGAGATTCAACGAACGGGGATACCAATTTCGAAAAGAAGATCGAAATGATAGTTTTAATAGAGGGGACCGCAGAAATAGGGGTTCGAGTGAGAATTTCAGTCGAGGCGATAGGATGCAAAGAGGACGATTGAATGTTTTGAAAGTTAATGAAGTTCAAAATAATCAAAAGAAATCGGCAGTGGATATACCAATTAAACTTTCTCCGATATGTATATCACCCGTGGAACTTCCCTATGTTCCTATTTTATTAAATAACACATTTTTGAAAGCGCTATGGGACACCGGAGCGGAGAAATCATTTATATTGGAAGAAATATATAAAAAATATTTTTTTTATAAACCAGTAAAA